GACCAGAACGCGGACGCGTTCCCACAACCACTTCAGCCTCTTCTGCATGCCCCCCGGCCTCATCTTCGCGTTGATGTACTTTTGGACTCGCAGGGCACAGGCGTTGTGCAGCGCTCTGGCCTTCACAGTCTCCGTGGAGATATTCTTCGCCTGCGCGTTCGAGAAGGCCACGACCATCATGGCACCCTTGTCCTGCGCCGACGAGGGCCGCAAATATTCCGCCACTGGGAAAACGACCTTCTGCACCACGTGCGTCTTCCCCGAGCCGCCCTGGCCCAGCAGGAGCAAGTGCGTCACTTTTCTCTCGCTCCAGGGTTTTTTTCTGCACGTCGTCCTCCCAGGCGTCGTCGCAGGCCTTCGCGAACTTGGCGACGAAGAGCGTCTGGTTCCGCGTGAGTCTCTCGTTCTCCGACAACCCAGCGACCAGGGCGGCTATGCATGCGCTGGGCGTCGAGTACACGCTGCGGGCAAAATTGGCCGCAGCGGGGTTGCCGCCCAGGCCGCCTCGCCGTCGTCAGCGCACGCGCCATCCTCGTCGCGATTGCCCTGGAGGCGGTCGTCACGCAGGTTTGCCCAGGCGTGTCTCTCCTCGCGCGCTGCGGTCACCAGCGGTCGGTATCCGGCCGCGGACGCAGGAGTGGTCGCGGCCCCCGTCGGCTCGGGCGCACCCGCGCCCTCGCGGGCCGCCTCGCGGGCCGCCTCGTCGTCGTCGTCGTCGTCGTCGTCGTCGTCGTCGTCGTCGTCGTCGTCGTCGTCGTCGTCGTCGTCGTCAGCTCCTCAATCACCCTCTCGGGCACGCAGGCCCATGACAACAGCAAATTTGCTGACGACCAGCTCAAACGAGGCTACCCGCAGTTTGCTCACAAACAACGCTCCCGCCGAATATTTCCCCCGTATTCAAGCCGCAGGAGCTGAGGAGCCCAAAAAGCTCGCTCGGATGACCCGCTTCGGATTCGAACATGAAGTGCGGGTCCCATAGAGAAGGGGCTCCCACCTGAGACTTCCTCGCGATTCACTCACAGACGAGGCTCCCTATTCAGACTTCTTCCGAATTCAAGCCTGAGGAGCCCAAAGTGACGATAGTTACACGGTGCCGATGACCCGCCTCGAATTCGAACATGAGGTGCGGGACCCATAAGGAGAAACTCCCGGTTGAGACTTCCTCGCCAGTCACTCACAGACGAGGCTCCCGCTTGAACATTCTTCCAAACTCAAGCCTGAAGATCCCCCAAAATAGCGACTATTTCAGGTTGCCGATGACCCGCTCGGATTACCAACATGAAAAGCGGGCCCCATAGGGAGGAGGTCCCGCCTGAGACTTCCTCGCAATTCGCTCACAGACGAGGCTCCCGCCTGAGACGTCCTCTATACCCGAGCCAGAGAAGCTCAAAAGTGACGACAGTTACAAGTTCTGGATGATCCGCTCGGATTACCAACATGAAGTGCGGGCCCCATAGGGAAAGGGATCCCGCCTGAGATTTCATCGCAATTCACTCACAGACGGGGCTCCCGCCAGAGACTTTCTCCATATTCCAGCCTGAGGAGCCCAAAAGTGACGACAATTACATGTTTCCGATGACCCGTTCGGACTACCAAGATGAAGTGCGGGCCCCATAGCGAGGGGGCTCCCGCCTGAGACTTCTTCACTTTTCACTCACAGACGAGGCTCCCGCCTGAGACTTCCTTTATACTCGAGCCAGAAGAGCCCAAGAGTGACGACAGTTACATGTTCTGGTTGACCCGCCTGGATTAGTAACATGATTTGCGGGGCCCATAGGGGGGGGCTCCCGCGTGAGACCTCCTTTCAATTCACTCACAGACGAGGCTCCCGCTTAAAACATTGTCCATCGTCAAGATGGGGAGTGAATGATGACGAAGTGATGAGTGAATGATGATGATGGTGATGATGATGATGTCAATGTGTGAGTGTGATGATGATGGTGATCATGAAAGCAAGTGGGTGTGTGGTTGATGAAGATGATGATGATGATGATGATGATGATGATGATGATGGTGATGATGATGATGATGAATGAAGGAGTGAGTGGGAGTGGGTGATGCGGAGGAAGAGACGGTGTGTGTGTGTGTGTGTGATGACTGCGCGGGGTGTCCAGAGAAACCAAGAACCCCACTTAGGATGTGGGGAACGAAGACGACGACGAAGACGACGACAACATATCGGCACGCACGCACGGCACTGGCACCGCCCACTCACCCCCAATAATGTTTCGATTGTTGTTTTTAGCACGCACGGCACTGGCACCAGCACCGCACTCCCCCCCAGCCAGCCCAGGTTGGAGGCGTCATAAGCGCATCGTAAGCGAAAAAGTGGCAAGGAACAGCGCATAATGTTGTTCCCTTGGTTTTTGCGCCCCCTCCGCCCCGACCATTTTATTTCGGCACGCACGCACGGCGCTGGCACCGCCCAGCCCCCCCCCACCCCAGCCAGCCCAGCTTTCCTCCGTCCCCCACCCGGCGCGCACCCTCCGCCCCGACCACTTGTTTCGGCACGCGCGCACGCACAGCGCTGGCACCGTCCGTCCCGCCCCCAGCCAACCCAGCTCCTCCTCTTCCTCCTCCTCCTCCTCCTCCTCCTCCTCCTCCTCCTCCTCCTCCTCCTCCTCTCCCTCTCCCCCCAGCCAGCGCGCCCCATCCGCAACGACCTTCCCATTTCGGCACGCACGGCACTTGCACCGCGCCCTCCACGCCCAGCCAGCCCAGCTCCTCCCCACCCACTAGCCAGCGCAGGCCACCCTCCTCAAGCATTTTATTTTGGCACCCACGCGCGACGCCCGCGGCCCTCCCCCCCAGCCAGTCAGCCCAGCTTGGAGGCTTCGGGGAACGAGAAATACATAAACCAGCCACTAATTGATTGTTCATGGGTTTTGTTCAAAGGATTTGGACTTTTCGAGGGGGTCCCGAGGGTTCTCCGAACGCACTTGGGGCCGTCTTAAGGCCCTTTGACAGTCTTGGACTCTCCTGAGCCATCTTGGAGGCCATCTCGGAACACATCCCCCTCCAACCCCACCTTCTCCCTCCTCCTTTGTATGTGCAAGAGCCATGGCACGCGTGCCACTTGTTAAGGAAAGTTGGTGGAGCCTGGCTTGGGCGATCCTGCTCAGGATGTCTTCCGAATCTGCATGGATCGGCCCCTGGTTTGGCGTAGTCTGGCCGCGCGCCCCGCCTGAGACATCTTGAACATCTGCCTGGTTTGGCCCCGGGGGCAGCCTGGTTCTGGCGCGGTTTCTCTTAAGACGTCCCCAGAATTTACCCGGTTTGGGTGATTTGGGCGCGGTTTCGTTTGAGACGTCTTCCAAATGTGCCCGGTTTGGTAGGTTTGGCTTGGTTTGGGTTTGGTTCTTTGTTGGGTTTGGTTTTGCCGGGTTAATTTAGGCTGGTTTGGGCACGATTCCGCTTGAGACGTGTTCGCTTTTCGCCTGGTTTGGCTTTGATTCGTCATGGTTTCGGCCCCGTTCCGCTTGAGACGCCCTCACAACTTGCGGGTGTAATTCAATTGGCATATGGAACAAGAGAAAGTAGAGTCAACCCGCGTAGTAAGGATGAGCAACTTTCCAAGGTCACCCTTGGATCCTTCCCCTTCGGCCCATCCTTGGCCGCCTTCCCTGGCCTCGCCCCGCTCGCAAAGTGTCGGCATGGCCTTACAAGACCCGTGTTCCCTACCTAGGCTCTGCCTAGAAGGGTTCTTAATCGGTATGCTTAAAGGGCCAGGCAGTGCAACTCGCCCCGAGCGGTTCCCCCAGCATCCGCCCCGCGGTTCCCCCAGTGTCGTCCCCTTAGCTTAGCGTTGCTTATCTCATCTTAGCTTAGCTTATTCCCTACCTAGGCTCTGCCTAGAAGGGTTCTTACCCTCTGTGCTTAAAGGGCCGGGCAGTGCAACTCGCCCCGGGCGGTTCCCCCAGGATCCGCCCCGCGGTTCCCCCAGTTACGTCCCTTTAGCTTAGCGTTGCTTATCTCATATTAGCTTAGCTTATGTCATCTTAGCTTAGCTTAGCTTAGCTTAGCTCAGCTTCATCTTAGCTCAGGTGTATCTTGGCTTAGCTGACCTTCATCTTAGCTTCGCTGAGCTTTAGCATACTACAGAACAGCATAGCATAGCGTAGCGTAGCATAGCGCAGCACAGCATATCATAGCATAGCCCAGCATAGCATAGCGCAGCATAGCATAGTATAGCATAGCATAGCGCAGCACAGCACAGCACAGCATAGCACAGCGCAGCATAGCACAGCATAGCATAGCACAGCATAGCAGAGCAGAGCAGAGCATAGCATAGCGCAGCTTAGCATAGCATAGCATAGCATAGCTTAGCTTAGCATAGCACCGCGCAGCATGACATAGCATAGCTTAGCATAGCATAGCATAGCGCAGCATAGCATAACATAGCAGAGCATAGCGCAACATAGCATGGCATAGCATAGCATAGTATAGCAACTAATGTTGGTTTCCTAGGGGCTCCAACTTCTAGGTAGGGTCGCACTGGGGTAATATCTTTATTGTGCGTCCTTCTTATACGGGCGATTGTAATCACAAGACACAGTGGAATGTGCCACGTTTTTCTGTCGGCACTGAATGGAACATTTACACCAGTTCTGGTGGGTGACAGAATTGATGACGTTGTGTGCAATGTAGACCCGTTGTTGGCCACATATAGCACGATTGCGCTAAAAATTGACGGGCGGAATTGGCGTGGACATTCCCAACACGTTGTGGATCGGCATTGGCGCGTGTGGCGGCATTCGCAGAAAATTCTCCCTGACCTGATCAGGCTCGAACATATTTGTCCGAACGCCACAGCAAAGGCCCAAAAACGCCGGAGTGACAAATGAAGGCTTCTGCGCCCCACCCTGTCCGCAGCAGCGGACGTGCAGTCCAAACGCCCCCCGCCCCCCCACCCCATAAAATTCGAAACGGGTTTCCGCCTGCGGGGGTGGGGGGCCAGGGGTGGTCCACTCCCCGAATTGGAGTTTGACTATTTTGCACAGGGTGTTACAACGCACTTCTAATCATAGCCAGTGGGGAGTGAGGGCAAACGACGCTCAGAAGGGCGGAGCCCATCGTGATGTGCGATCGAGCCACTTGTGCCAGGAAGCTCCTCACTGTGCTCCCGCTCCGGCAATGCTCCTGGGCCCCGTGACGGCGGCTGCCTGGCGCCCGCAGACACGTTCTCGTGCTTGCGGCTGCGCGCAGCTGCCGGAGTCGCCCTGCAGCATCTTCGGGCACGCATTGCACTAGGCATCCTGCCAGGCTCATATGAGCTGTCCAGCCGTGAGGGGAAGGCCTGGGGTGACCATTTTTTTGTGGAATTGGTTATTATGCAGGAGAGTGGGTGGAGCCTGGTTTGGGCAATTCTGCTTGGGACGCCCTCAGAATCTGCCTGGTTTGGCCCCTGGTTTGGCCGCGCGCCCTGCCTGCGACATCCTGAACATTTGCTTGGGCCTAGTTTTTCTTGGTGTGGGCTTGTTTGGGGCGCCTTCCCGCTTGAGACGTTCTCGCACTTCGCCCGGTTTGGCTCTGAGGTGGCATGGTTTCGGCCCCGTTCCGCCCACGAAGTCTTCACAAGTTGCGTATGTGATTCGATTGGCAGATTACACAACAGAAAGCAATCACAAGACACAGTGGGATGTGCCATGTTTCTGTTGTTCGACACTTCATGGAACATTTACATAGGCCGTGGTGGGTGTATACTGGAGTAGTGGCGCTGTGCGCAGTGAAGACCCATTGTGGTCCACATGTAGCACGACTGCGCTACAAAATGACGGGCGGAATTGGCGTGGACATTCTCAACACGTTGTGAGCGTGCGGCGGCAGTCGCAGACAAGTTTCCTTAGCCTGATCAGGCTCGGAAATATTTGTCCGAACGCCACGGCAAACCCCTAACAACGCCGAATGACTAACGAAGGCTTCTGCGCCCTCTGCGCCCCACCCAGTCCGCAGCAGCGGACGTGCGGTCCAGACGCCCCCCGCCCCCCCGCCTCATAAGCTTCCAAACGGGTTTCCGCCTGCGGGGTGGGGGGCTTGGGGTGATCCACTCCCTGAGTGGGAGTTTGACTATTTTGCACACGGTGTTTCAACGTACCTCTAATCATAGCAAGTGGGGAGTGAATCAACCAGTGGGGCCAAGGCTAAACGGCCGGTTTTTCGATTTTAATACGGATTAAATCTCGATTTAATCCGTGCAGCAGTGCGTTCTTGCAGTGGGAGAACGGATTAAATCGGAATTCAATCTCTACACCACTCAAAGAAAGATTTAATCCCAGTTTAATATTCGAGGGCGCCGAGGGGGCGCCTGCCTGGAAAGCGCCAGTGGCGGCCGCGAAGCGCCTGGGAAACGTGTGACCGTGTGTCTGTGTGTGTGGGGGGGGGTCCATGTGTGTGTCCGTGTGTGTGTGTGTGTGTCCGTGTGTGTGTGTGTGTGTCCGTGTGTGTGTGTGTGTGCGTGTGTGTGTGTGTGCGTGTGTGTCCGTGTGTGTCCGTGTGTGTGTGTGTGTCCGTGTGTGTCCGTGTGTGTCCGTGTGTGTGTCCGTGTGCGTCCGTGTGTGTCCGTGTGTGTCCGTGTGTCCGTGTGTGTGTGTGTGTCCGTGTGTGTCCGTGTGTGTCCGTGTGTGTGTCCGTGTGTGTGTCCGTGTGTGTGTCCGTGTGTGTGTGCGTGTGTGTGTGTGTGTGTCCGTGTGTCCATGTGTGTGTCAGTGTGTGTGTGTGTGTGCGTGTGTGTGCGTGTGTGTGTGTGTGTCAGTTTGTGTGTGTGCGTCAGTGTGTGTCAGTGTGTGTCAGTGTGTGTCAGTGTGTGTCAGTGTGCGTCAGTGTGTGTCAGTGTGTGTCAGTGTGTCTGTGTCTGTTTGTGTCTGTTTGTGTCTGTGTGTGTCTGTGTGTGTCTGTGTGTGTGTTTGTCTGTGTGTGCCCGTGTGCGTCCGTGTGTGTCCGTGTGTGTCCGTGTGTGTCCGTGTGTGTCCGTGTGTCCGCGTCCGTGTCCATGTCCATGTCCATGTGTGTGTGTCTGTGTGTTTGCGTGTGTGTGTATGTCTGTGCATGTCTGTGTGTCTCTGTCTGTGTGTCTCTGTCTGTGTGTGTGTCCATGTGTGTGTGTGTGTCTCTGGCTGTGTGTCTCTGTGTGTCCGTGTGTGCGTGTGTGTCCCCGCCCGCCTGTGCCCTGTCTCCCCACTTAGAGCTGCGCGTAGCCCGCCTAGCTTTCAGCGGAAGGGGCTCGCTCTTGCCCCGCCGACCACAAAGTGTGTGTGTGTGTGTGTGTGTCCGTGTCTGTGTGTGTGTCTGTGTGTATATCAGTGTGTGTGTGTGTGTTTGTGTCAGTGTGTGTGTGTGTGTCCGTGTGTGTGTGTATGTGTGTGTGGCAGTGTGTGTCAGTGTGTGCGTGTGCGTGTGCGTGTGTGTGTGTCAGTGTGTGTGTGTGTGTGTCAGTGTGTGTGTGTGTCAGTGTGTGTATGTGTGTGTGTGTCAGTGTGTGTGTGCGCGTGTGGTGTGTGTGTGTATTTGAGTTTGTGTGTGCGTGTGGTGTGTGTGCGTGTCGCGTAGTTTCTTGTGTGTAGTGTTGCGTGTGGCGGAGTTGTGTGGGTGTGTGTGTGCGTGTGTGTGTTGTGCATGTGCTGTTGATTATTTTCTGTCGAGTGTGCGTGCGTGCGTGTGTGTGTGTGTGTGGTGTTTGGTGTGTGGCGTGTCTCTGTGTCTCTTGTTGTGTGTGTGCGTGTGTGGGTGTTTGCGTGCGTGCGTGCTGTGTGTGTGTGTGGTGTTGTGTGTGTGTGCGTCTCCTGTGTGCGTGTCCTTGTGCTGCTTGAGTCTGTTGGGCTCTGTGGTGGATGTGTGTGTGCGTGTGTGCGTGTCCATGTGCGTGCGTGTGTGGATGTGTGTGCGTGTGTGTGCGTGTGTGTGCGTGTGTGTGTCAATGTGTGTGTGTGTGTCAATGTGTGTGTGTGTCCGTGTCCGTGTCCGTGTCCGTTTCCGTGTTCGTGTTCGTGTCTGTGTCCGTGTCTGTGTGTCTGTGTGTGTTCCCTGTGTCTGTGTGTGTGTTCCCTGTGTCTGTGTTTCTGTGTGTGCGTGTGTGTGTGTGTGCGTGTGTGTGTGTGTGTGTGTGTGTGTGTGCGTGTCTCTGTGTGTGCGTGTCTCTGTGTGTGCGGATCTGCGTGTGTACGTGTGTGCGTGCACGGCTGTGTGTGTGTGCTTGTGGCTGTGTGCGTGTCTATGTGTGTGCGTGTCTATGTGTGCTCGCTCGCCCGCGTGTCCCGCGCCCCCGTGCCCCCTCGTGTGCCTCCCTGTGTGTCTCCCGCGTGCGTCCCCGTGTGTGTCCCCGTTTGCGCCCCCGTGTGTGTCACAGGTTCGCGCCTCCTCGCCAGTGTGCGCCTCCGGGCGTTTCTGTGTGCGTCCGTGCGTGTGTCCGTGTCCGTGTCTGCGTGTCTCTGCGCGTGTCTTTGCGCATGTGTGTGTGGGTGTGTGTGCGTGTGCGTGTGCGAGTGCGTGTGTGTCCGTGTGTCCGTGTGTCCGTGTGTCCGTGTGTCCGCGTGTGTCTGTCCGTGCGTCTGTGTGCGTGTGTCTGTCCATGTGTGTGTCCATGTTTGTGTGTGTGTGTTCCTTTGTGGCCGTGTGGGGCCGTGTGTCCCCTTGTGTGCCCGTGCTTGTGTGTGTGTGTGCGTGTGCGTGTGTGCGTGCGTGCGTGTGTGTGTGTGTGTGTGCGTGTGTGTCCTTGTCCGTGTGTGTATGTGTGTGCGTGCGTGTTTCCATGTGGGTGCGTGTGTGCGGGCGCGCGTGTGTTTGTGTGTGTGTGTCTGTGTGTCCGCGCGCGTGCGCGTGTGTGTGTGTGTGTGTGTGCGTGTGTGCGTGTGTGCGTGTGTGCATGTGTGCATGGGTGCATGGGTGCATGTGTGCATGTATGTGTGTGCATGTGTGCGCATGTGTGTGTTCATTTGTGTGTTCATGTGTGTGTGTTCATTTGTGTGTGCGTGCATGTGTGTGCATATGTATGTGTGTGTGCATATGTATGTGTCGTGTTGTCGTGCGATCGACGAATCATGTGCTTTTGACCCCGTGATGCGTTGAATTGTGTTGTGTGTGTGTGTCTTGTGGGGGTCCATGTTTGTGTGTATCTTGTTGTGCGTGCGTTTGTGCGCTTGATGTGCCACATGCATGTGTGTGTGTGCGTGTGTGTGTGTGCGTGTGTGTGTGTGTGTGTGCATGTGTGTGTGTGCGCGCGCGCGTGTGTGTGTGTGTGTGCGCACGCGCATGTGCTTGTTTGTGTGTGTGCTTGTTTGTGTGTGTGTTTGTTTGTGTGTGTGCTTGTTTGTGTGTGTGTCTGTCTGTCGTTCCTTCTGTGTGTGTGAGTGTGTGTATGAGTGTGTGCGTGCGTGCGCGCGTGCGTGCGTGAGTGCGCGCGCGCGCGCGTGCGTGTGTGTGTGCGTGTGTGTCTGTGAGAGAGAGAGGGAGTGTGTGTGTGTGTGCGTGTGTGTGTGTTTTTGTGTGTGTCTCTCTGTGTGTGTGTGTGAGTGTGTGTGTGTGTGCGTGTGTCTGTGTGTGTGTGCATGTGTGCGTGCGTGCGTGCGTGCGTGCGTGCGTGTGTGTGTGTGCGTGTGTGTGGGCATGTGTCTGTGTGTCTGTCTGTCGGTGTGTCTCTGTCTGTCGGTGTGTGTGTGTCTGTGTGTGTGTGTCTATCTCTCTCTCTCTCTCTCTCTGCGTGTGGGGGTGTGAGTGTCCGTGGCCGTGGCCGTGGCCGTTTGTTTGTTTGTGTGTGTATGTGTGTGTGTGCGCCAGTGTCTGTCTCTGTGTGTTTGTGTTTGTGCGTGTGCTTTTCTAGCAAGGCGTTCTTTCCTAATATCTTGCTTATCTTCTTTGCGGCTGCAGGATTGTGGTGGAAATCTTCGAGTTTGCACGGAATGGTCACTACAGTAAGGTGAAGCAGCCCACGCAACCGAGCCAGGGACGCCCAGTTGCGGGGAGTGACTGGCGCACGTGTCTGCACTGCAGGGCGCACAGCATTTCAGCATTGGCCACAGGGCACACTGGCAGTCACAACTCAGGGTGTCCATCCGCGCTGGTGCCCCTTGTGGAGATCCCCATGGTGCCAAGAAGCGCCGCACTTCGGTGGGGCTCCCTATGGGCCACGAGACGCCATATCGGGCTTGGCAGGCGCACGCGGCACCCCCCCCGGGGGGCTTGAAGTGGAGCCCACCACGGGCCACGAAAGCGCCGCACTGGAAGGGGCGGGCGCATGCGGTGCCCCCCGCGAGGGCACTGGGTGGAGCCCCCCCACGGGGCCACGAAGCGCCAGACCGGGTGTGGCAGACGCCTTCGGCACGCCCCCGAAGGGGCCTGTTTGTGGAGCCCCCTTCGGGGCCACGAAGCGGTGTGCACGCGCATGTGCTGTGTGTGTGCGCGTGTGTGTGTGTGTGTGTGTGCGTGTGTGTGTGTGTGTGTGCATGTGTGTGTGTGTGCATGTGTGTGTGTGTGTGTCTGTGTGTGTGTGTCCATGTTTGTGTGTGTATGTGTGCGAGCGTGTGCGCATGTGATGTGCTGTGTG